TCAGCTTTCTGCTGGCTCATGAGATATGATCATTCTAAGACAATAGGTCTCTTTTGTTCTCTGGTTCATGTATAGCTGCCCATGAATTACTGGATGTTGGTGCAGTCAAGTGTGCAGGTGTAAACATCTGGCTTGGAGTCCCAGCCATCTGCTAGCAGGAGGCCCTGGTCAGCCACAGGATTGCTGCAGAGTGAATGTATCAGGGTGCCAGCCATGAAGGGCTAATCAGGCAGGCAGCGCTGCCATGGTAGGCAAAGGCGCAGGGATGGTACAGGCAAGCTGCTTGGAGGCTGCCCTTGCTGAGATGCACATTGACATTAGCCATCCTAGGGGAGTATTATGAAAGTAATGATGCAGCACTCACCCTGCCCTTAAAGAATTTTGCTGATATTCACAAAAGTGTGGCATTTACTTCCACAAAAACCTTCAGAAGAATCTTTTAGAAGAATAGCTTGTGATCAGCAACTATAAACCAGAGACACACTACGGGGGAGGGGGTAGGGAGAGGAAGGATTAGGGTCAAAATAAGGGGGGGTGTGCAATTATATGGGGAACATAACCAAAATGAAAATGAATACATTGTGCAAAAATGAAAAACGATATAAGAATTATATAAAATAAAATATTTAAAAAAAAAGAATAGCTTGTGATCCTAAGAAACAAGTTTGTTTTCATCAGTGGACACCATGAGTTACTCAAATGACCGTGTTTCCCTCTGTGTCTAGCTGATAGGCAGCTGGGAATTAAATCGACATCCTATTCCTAGCAAGTTAACTTGACTTTCTGTCAAACTCTTATTCTACTCTCACCTCTGCTGTCAACTTAATTTCCTTCTGATTTGTCTTCACTTGGTTCTTAATATATTTATTTTACAAGTGAACAGATTAATACATTCCCATAAAAGATGAAAAGAATTATACAGAGCAAAACTTGAAAATAATCATTTATTATGTATGGTGTACTCTATATTTTTGCTATTAACCTCAAATCCATTTGGAAGACTGTTAGGAAGACTTTAAATTAAGAAAAACAAGTAAATAATGAGCTTTATTTGAAAACTTACTACGGTGCTAGGATGTTCATATATTTTTTTCATTTAATCCTCACAGCAACACTTAGGGCAACATATATGCCCATTTTACAGGTGAGGCATTTGAATGAGGGGAAATTAACTGTTTAAGTCATAGACAGTAAGTGGCAGAAGTAGGAACAAGACTCAGGTTTGGGATTCAAAACTTGTGTATTAGCATATTTCTTTGCTAGCATAGTCACCTAGTCTCTCCTAGGATGGTTTTTAAATCATCTCAACTATTTTGTAAGGTCACAAAATTTATGTGTAACTGGGGTGTGTGGATGTGTGTGTGTGTGTTTTGGGGATCATGCTTGTGGATTGCTCTTCATTACAACTATCTCTCATTCTGCTTTAAGTCACTGGAATTATTGGGGTGGTTCAGTCAACAGCATTTTTTTCCCCCTTAGGTGCCAACAGAGACCTGTTTCAACTCGCTGATCTTGCGTTCAGTCCAGAGGGAGACTCGACAAAGGTCAATTGCAAGGCAGCCTTTAACCTTCCACATTGACCTTCCCCTGCTGACCAATGGGCTGTTATCAGGTACCAGTAGAGCCAAGTCTTTGTTTTTTGGGGGAGAAGCAGTAGCAGCATCTGTACTTCTGAAGGTGGTTAGGGTCTGGAGGAAGGAAACTCATCCACCTGGCAGTCCTGTCTCACCCACTCCCCTTTAAGGGTCCCCCCAAGGGTAAATTCTTAGAGCCATGTAGCATGTTGCCCTGACCCCATTCCGGCCAGCGGTTCCAGTAATTTGTACTGGCTTCCCCCTCCTGGCTGTCCCTGGCCAGAGGATGCAGCTATTGACCTAAACACTGACCACTGTCCCAGCTAGCAGGCAAGCACATTTCTATTTTCATCTCAGTTCCCAGCATCTTGGGGAAAGAACTTGGCCATTCCTATCGACCAGACCCCGGAGGAGGGAGGAGAGCCTGCAGGCTTCTTCTGTAACCTCCCTTTGACTTGGATTCAGAAGACAAAGGTGAACTTGAGTGCTGCGGGGACACAGCTTTCCTTTATGCTGCCACCAGGCCCCGGGGCTGCTCTCTCCAGCACTGAGGCCCTTTTGTCCCGGAGGGGCACCCACAGCCTGACTGCCCACACTGTGAAACCCAGTTGCAGCGCCTTCTCCCCTCCCCCGGGAGTGCTGTGCCTGGAGAAGGGCTTTGAGTTTCGTGGACGCACACAGGCCCTTTTCTTCTCAGGGCGCCTGCAACTTTGATGCTGCGCGCCTGGCAGCCTGGCGCTCGCTGGTCTTGTTCAGGGAGGCGGTGCCAAGGCGCGGGCGCGGCTGCCGGGCTGCTCCGCCGGCTGCGGGGTGGGCAGCAGCTCCCGGCCGCTGCGCCAACCAGGGAGGTGCCCCCCACCTCTCAGCGTTCATGCGGGGAAACTGATAACCCAGCTCCCATTTCTCGAAAACAGGCATCCACTTTGACCCTCTGCAATGCACTTCTAGGAACTCATTCTAAGATAGTTAGGGATGTATAGGAGAATACTGAAAAACATTTTTTTTTCAGTCAAATCTTATAAAAATGTCAAATATGCAGATAGTTGACAGACTGGTAGGGTGAATATTGGTGAATATTCCTAGAGCCTTAGCTAGAGGCTGCAATTAGCATTGTTAATGGACAGCCATTCAGGAACTCCCACTGTCTTACAGAGTGTGTGTGTGTGTGTGTGTGTGTGTGTGTAAGTGTGTGTAAGTGTAAACCTCACCCCATCCCCATTTGTTAAATTATGACACATTTGCACAATGGTACTGCACAGCCACTGAAATAGCATGGAATATTCAGTGATGTGGAAAAATGTGGGGGTTTTTGTTCAATGAAAAAAGAAGGTAGAAAATGATGCACAATTAGTAAACAATTTTGTTCGAAAAAGTGTTTATCTGTAGAAAAAACATACTGAGGTTATGTATGAAAATGTTCATTGGATTGTGTCTAAATTGGGATATGGGTGAATTTGATTTTCAACTCTGGCTTATTTTTATTTCTTTCAATGAAGAACTTCTATGGAAAGTGGACGGGCATTTAAAAGGTGTAGTCAGCTCAAAGGCTGACAGGACTCCCTGAGATATCCCAGCTAGCACGCAAACATAGCTGCTTCTTCCCTGCCCCCCACCCCAGGTTGCTCTCCTGCAGCAAACTGGATTCATCCGTGTCATCACTGATTCTGAAGCCAGGGGGTTTCCTTAGCCATTTTAGAAGGAGGGTCTATTGTGTTATCACTTACCCCACTGGAGATTAGTCTTGTGATGAAACTCTTGTCCTGAACAGAAGGCCAGGGCTTAACCCAGAGGTGCATGTGCCTCTTGGGCACCGACTTCCTTTCACGTGAGAGACCTGGGGAGGTAGACGGGTGGGCAGGAAATGGGGGATGGAGCTGCTTTCATGTGGGTTCTTTTGGGACCTTTGGGGCCAACTGGATGACAATTTTATCATCATATAAGCTATGAGAACTTTGCAGACTACAATAATAAAAACTCACTCTATGGGCCTCCCCGGTGGCGCAGCGGTTGAGCGCTGGGTTGCGAAGCTAACCAGCCTCTGCAGCGCCAGTTCGATCCCCGGCTGCTCCCCGGCCACTGGAAGAGGGTCCCACATGGCGCGCAGACCTCTCCTGCCACCCGCTGCTCCCCTCAGCAGTGTACTTCAGTCCTTCTGCCTGCTCTGCTCCCCGCTCTGGCTCTGGTGAATTCTCTCACCCTCCCGCGCTTCTGACTGTACCCAGTGCATGTATAAACAAAACAAACAAACAAACAAATAAATAAATAACATGCCTCTATAAAAAAAAAAAATTAAAAAAAAAAAAACTCACTCTATACACATATTTTTAGTTCACAAAGTAAATTCACACATAATGGTCTTGGAGAAGTATCAAAAACCACTTGGAGAGGGACATAGGATTAGCAACTTTGATTCTCCCACATAAAGCCACATTAAGAGCTCCTATTTTTGATTAACATTACTTCATAATAAAAAAGACATTATCACACACACCAGATAGAAAGGGCAATCTGGAAGTAAAAAGGCAGTATTTAATTTTATCTTTATGAAAACTCTTACTATAAGGTCACCTCTTTCCCTATGAACCTTTTAAATTATTTCTATTTCTGTCTAAAGGGACAAAAATCTTTTTCATAGACAAGTATTTGCCATTATTACTGATACTTAAGATCATCCACTTAGAAGTGAGGAAATTGAGTTTTAGAGATTGCCAGCTGATAAGTAGAATTTGAATTAGGATTTGAATTAGAATTCAAATTCAAGTCTCTCTGCTCCTGAACCAGTGATTTTCTCCTATTCCAGGTCGCATGTGTGTAACCAGGTTACCTGGGTGGTTCTTGGAAATGGTGGACAGACAATAGGCCTGATTTACTTTTCCAGGTCTTGGCTAGACTTGAGTCGCCAGAGTGAATCCAGTGGGTCACATTTTATCTTGGAACAGGTGGTGTTAGGCTTTCTGAGAAGTTCTCTAATTTCATTATTTGCTTTATCAGCAAATATCCTTACAGGTGATTTCAAAGGGATGAGCACAATAGTAGGATTTAATCTGGCCTTATGGATCGCCTCATTAACGCCTGAAATTTCTCCAGTTTGATCACCTCCACTGATGCATGTAGGAAAATCCATTATAAACTAGGAAATAGGTAAAGAGGTGGGCAATATGTCCTTTCAGTGTTATACTGAAGCATTGTGTAACAGGCTCAACAAAACTTACTGAATTATCCTTGGGAATGTGTCTGACTTTGAAGTTACATATCAACTTCAACTGTATTTAAAGGCAGTCACTATCCATGCCACTTTAGAATTTTACCTCTCACTTGTCCCATTGTGATGCAATATATGAGAACATATTTTGAGAAGTTCAAAAATGTGATATTTGGGATCTGAAAAAGATGGGGTAGTGGGTACATGGTGGGGGGTGGTATCAGCCAAACTTCTCAGGTCAGTTGTACCAGGATACCTTCATTTTTCCATGGACTTTCTTTGTCTCAGTCAGTGGCCAATAGCGTGGTGTATTAGAATTTCCAATCTAGAAATAGAATTTTCAAGGTGTAAGGATGGGAGAAGAGGTTGAAAAGCCAACTGGGGCTACCTGTGGTGAAGGATTGCAATTTTATTTTGTGAATCAAGTCATTAACAGTTTTAATCTAGGAATTGATGTGATCATTCTTTTTAATTAGAAGGAAAGATAATTCTGATAAGAATGCACTGGATGGGTGGAGAGAGTGTCTCAGTGAGAGATAATCAAGACTTGACCAGTATACAAATGGAAATTTGAGCATAAAACCCATACAGCAATTCAAGAGTAGAATGGACAGGGGCCTCCCTGGTGGTGCAGGGGTTAAAGACAGCGCTATCAAGCTATTGCCAGCCACTGCAGCACAAGTTGGATCCCCAGCCCGCCTGGGAGTTAACCCACAAGGCCCAGCAGACCTCTCCTGTCAACTGGGGGTCCTTCATCGCTTCCTTGACTCATGGCAACCTTCCTCCTTCTTCAGAGCCAGTAACAACAAGTTAAATCCATGCTTCAAATCTCTCTTCCTTTTTCTGATTTGAATCTTGCAGTTCTTACTGCAGCTGGGAGCTTCTTTGCTCGGAGGACTAACGTGATTATATTGGGCCTGAATGTTAATCTTCCCATTTTATGGTTTGTAATCTTAGTCACATTTCCAAAGTTCCTGTTGCCATCTTCCTGGTATTAGGACATGAACATCACTGAGGGCCTTTTGGATTTGGCCCTGCTCACTCTGCTCACTCACCCTAGTCTTGCCACTGTATTTGACCTATAAGTAACAGGTAACAGCTAAGAGTTGCTTGAGAGATTTAGAGGAGTGAAGATTTTTTTTTCTCAATAACAACAAATCCAGAGGTGGTTACTAATCTTGTTTCAGTGATTCAATGATGTGAAGACCATTGGCTTGGTAAATTGGTTGGCAGTTCCCTCACAGTTGCAATAGGGCTGCTGCAGTTCCAGATGTCACATATCTTAAGACAGGAAAACAGGGGCAGGGGATTGGTGCACAGGCTCCAGTTTTGTGGCCCTTTATCAGGATGTTTCAGAAGCCCCCATAGGACTTTCACGATACGTCACAGGCCAGAACTGTGTCACATCCCCGCAACTCCTGCAGTTGCAAAGAAACCTGAGAAAGTGAATATTTAGTTTTTCCTGGTAAAGAAGAAGACAGGAAATGAAGTTTCGTTTCACCAGTTCACAGTGCCAGAGTTTCAGTCCGTCCAGGACCCGGTCTTTGGCTTTTTCTCTTGTCAATCTGCAATTAGAATCAGAATCCTGTTCCTGAGTCAGACACCTCCTGATGACTGTGTTCTGACCACCTGTCCAACACCCACTCACTCCTTCTTGTAAGATAATTCTGACCCCAGGTAACCACGTCCACTGCCATCTGCAGGGGCCTGGATCCACTTCCTGTCACTGCCTGCTGCTGGCTCTGGAAGCCCTGACCAGCTTTCTTAGGCCTAGAGCCCACCCACCCCACTGGTTATGCAGAAGCAAGTTTCTATTCCATCAGTAACTGTTTTTACACAGGTCATTTCAAAGCTTCCTGTGTGTGTGTGTGTGTGTGTGCACATGCAGGAGAACACAGGCAAAAGCAGAAAATGCAGCGCATTGACCAAGGACATTTCTATCCTATACTAACTTTAAATTCTATCCTGGGCCTCCCCTGGTGGCGCAGTGGTTGACCGCTGGGCTGCGAGGCTGCCCGCAGCCTCTGCAGCGCCGGTTCGTTCCCGGGCCGCCGGCGAGGGTCCCACAAAAAAAAAAGAAAAAAATTCTATCCAGGTAGAAGATCTTCTGAGGATATTACTGTGGCAGAAACTGTTACCATAATGTCCATTTCCTTCTTCCAACAGTCACAAACTATGATTTTATGTGAGTAATGTACCTGGACAAAAGACTTCTTTATTCTCAGATGAAGACTTCATGTGACTTAGTTCTGGCTGATATGAAACATTGGATTGCACTTCCAGGATATTTCTTTGAAGGGTGGGATGTCCTTTCTTGTCCTTTGACCCATTTTATGCCTGGACTGTAAGTGGCAGGAGCTTTTTCAGCAATTTTGATCTATGAGGACAAAAGATATACTTTAGTGATAGCCAGGTGTTGACAATATCCCTGGACATTTCACCTCCAAGAGATGCATTTTTTTAAACTTCAGTCACTGTGTGTTTGTGTGTGTGTGTGTGTGTGTGTGTGTGTGGTGTGATTTGCAACTGACCCTAAGTAACTCCATTACTTTTTTTAAGCTTTTATTTATTTATTTATTTATTTTAAAAGATTTATTTATTTATTTATACAAGCACTGGGTACAGTCAGAAGCACATGATGCCTAACTCCTTATATTACACTCCAGATACATTATCTTATTTTAAACAGGTAAGAAAATGTCTATTTTCCAAAACTGTTTCTAGCTTGCCCTGGTTCTGGGAAAGCCCCTTGGGGTCAACAGCAATCACCAGAGAGGTGTGTTCCTATCAGCCATTTCATCTGCGCTCTACCCTTCCTCACCATCTTACTTTCTCATCCTAAAAATGGCATTTTGGTCTCTGGCAGGGGCTTAATATAAATATCATCTTGTGGAAATTTCTACCCCCCAAAATAGAACTTGGGCAATGATGTTTGCCCATTCCTGACGGATGGGCTGTCAGACTCACAGACTCATCCTCAGTAAAAATTCTTCAGACTTGGGTATTGCCTGGTGATGGTTCTTCAGGAATAAGTCTGCTAAGAGCTGCTTAGCAATGGTGGCTGGAGGAGGAGAGCTCGTGGTCTAGCATGCCGGCACTCCCTACTCTACTTTCTTCCAAAGGAACAATTGGCTTACCAGCCCCCAGAGTTATATCTGTCTTCTTCTATATCTACCTCTGTACACTCTTTACTACACCCTTTCTCCACCCCAAGTACCACGCTGGGTTACCTCCAAAAGCTGGACAGGCATTTTTACCCATGTCCTCTAAGTAATCCTAGCAGCACCAGGCTAATACTGGCCTGGCCCGGTCTGACATAGCTCTTGCTTAAACCTGCCTGTTTTTCTCAAGAAGTCCAGCCAGGATGTGCTGTCCCTTAAGAAGCGTTCCTGTTGATTCACAGCAGGTGCCCTTGCAGGGGGGATGTCTCAGAGTCATAGAGGCCCACCTAACTGCTCTAAGCAGAGTTCTGCTTTCCAAAGGCAGCAATGAGGGAGGTTATGGTGCCTGATGGGTTAATGACAATAATGGTTTTTCTTATCTATTATTCATGTTTTTTCTCCTGGCAATCTTGGGAGGTATTTAGGGTGAATTTTATAAATATAATCTTCAAGGAGAAGGAGGCAGGAACGAACATTCAGCATGTGCAGAGTAGAAGCTACGTTCTTTCTTTTTCTTAAAGATTTATTTATTTATACAAGCACTGGGTACAGTCAGAAGCACGGGAGGGTGAGAGAATTCACCAGAGCCAGCGTGGGTAACAGAACAGACAGAGTGATGAAATACACTGCTGAGGGAAGTAGCGGGCGGCAGGAGAGGTCTGCGCACTATGTGGTACCCTCCTCTGGTGGCCGGGGAGCAGCCGGGGATCGAACCTGTGCTACAGAGGCTGCGGGCAGGTTTGCAGCCCAGCGCTCAACTGCTGCACCACCAGAAGCTAGGTTCTTGCACACACTGGCTGGTGTCTCAGCAGTCAAGGGCTTGCAGTTGGAGTGAGTCAGCACTTGATTCCATATCAGACCTGCCACTCACCAGCTGTGGAGCTTGGACAAAGAAGTAAAACCAGGTGGCCTTACTGTAAACTGGAGTCTCGACTGCCTTTGCTGTAGCATAGAGGTGACAGGCCTAGGATCTGGACTAGAGCTCTCTGTCGCCCAGGGAGCTTAGTGCCAAGTGCTTTAAAGGGATAAGCCCTTGAAATAACTTTTCTAAGGCCACAAAATCTGTGCTATGGCAGCAAGGAAGGGATCCCTGGGAGGGGTGCAGAAAGGGGTCGGGGAGGGAAAAGAGGAGAGGAAAATTGAGTAAGAGGCATAAAATTGGTTACTTCCAGATTTTTCCCAGAGCCTGTCTCTTCAAACTGGGGGTTTGAGGACCAACTCACTGAGCCACACCCTTCAGTTTTATCAGGAGCCAATTTGGGGTTGGGAAGAAGAGGTCATCAAGTACAGGAAGGTTTATGGAGATGCAAAAAGACTTCCTATGGAGAAACACATCTCCTTAGGTTTAGCAAACAAGATGTGCAAGGTGTACTACTTCTTGGGAAAAGCAGGAAAGCAGCCATGATGCCTTTTCAGCTGGTCACAAGCTACCATTAACTCAGAACCTATATTTGGACACCAGGGGAGTGCAGGCCACAGAGTCATGAATACACATGAACCTTAAGGGGGCACATGGGCAGCAAGACAATGAAGGTGGCACCCGTAATTCCCATGACTGCTGGTTTATTTTAATTTTTGAATGAGTAAACAATTTTAGATGCAAAAACCTTTAGCTTGAGAAATGTAACCTTCAGCAGAGATTTTCTTGTCTCTCCTGGTAGGTGATGTCCACATCCTTCCAGTGTTCCAGCAGTTTCCTAGTCTCCATTCCTGAAAGAACCTGCATTTCCCTTTCCCGGCTCCATCCCTGGCTTCCTGTGTGCTCAGCCTCTTGCAGTTGTCATCGTGCCTTCAGAATGCATTTGATAGGTACAGGAAGTTATACTAGACCGAGATGGAACCAGCAATCAATAAAAAAAGAACTATGTTTCCAAGAAAAATGCATCACGGCTTCCCACAGGAGTTATGTACCATAAGTCCTAATATTATCTGTGGAACAATGGATCTAATTTTTAGCTCTTCTGCTTGGCTTTCCCTGCGTCTCAACAAGTAGACTTTTTAACCTGCTCCTCCCCAACTGGCTGACGATTCGTAGTCAAGATTCCCTTTCCTCTTAACCCTTTCGTTAGCTATCACAATATAAAATCTCTTCCTCCAGCTTTATTTCGCCTGGCTACTAGTTTAGTATATTTATGGTGCATGAGTCATCAAGCTGCCATCTGATTGGATAAAAACCAAGCACCCCTGGGACCATCAGTCAATTACAGCTATTCTCAGCTTCATTCACAGATTTATTAGCTTGCACACACAGAGAGAAATTCATTCAGCAAAGTTCATTCATAAAAATTTCAACACTCTGCGTATCCTCCAGCACATCTTCTCCTTCTGCTGCGAATGGGCTCTGAAAAAGCCTCTGAGAGGAATCCAGGAGGGAGGGAGGCTGGAGCGAGGGTGGGCAGGCTGGGCGAGAGCTGAAGAACGCCGAGGCCTCGCCAGTCCAGAAAAAACCACGGAGCAGCACCCATCCCTAGCACTCCGGGGCTCGTGGCCCAAGAAGGGATGCAAGACAAGCTCTTCCCAGAGGGGTCAGCCATCAGAATCAACCAGCTCAGGCAGAAGGACCTCTGACTTATCTATGCAGTTTCTTTTTTTTTTTTCCTTTTGCAAACGAACAATCCCTGGAACAAATAAAGGGTTAATAGACCAGCTATTGCCCCGCCCTTTGGGAGCCGGAGGGAGCAGGTTTGAAAGTTCCAGTGTGCAGAAGGGGAGACTTGAGGTGGGGGGCGCTCAATATTTCTGCAAAGCGCCTGCACCGCTGGCAACGTGGCCGGCTTCTGAGCCTGAGAGTTGGCGGTGAGCGATCCCCGCCGCCCCGAGGCTGGGTCGGGGCTTCCCCCGCAAGGGATCCTAGGCGAGAACGCCGGGTGCTGCCGCCGGGGCCAGGAGGAGTTGGAGTCAGCTGGGGAGGCGTCGTCTCCCTGGGCTGTCACCCAGAAGGGGCCGGGAGCCGAGGCGGGCGCAGGGCGAGAGCGCAATTGGAGAGGTGGCCGCCGCGAGTTGCACGGGGCGCTGAGGCGTTCCCCATGGTGGTGCATCTCGCAGAAGACTAGGCGGTTTATGCAACAGTACCCTGCTCCTGCACTGCCAAGGCTATGCGAGAACGCGGTCAGGACAGCCTGGCAGGACTCGTGCTGTATGTAGGATTCTTCGGACACCCCGGGATGCTGCACAGGGCCAAATACAGCCGCTTTCGGAACGAGTCCATCACCTCCTTGGACGAAAGCTGCCCCGGAGGAGGCTCAGTCGGGAACAAGGGCTCGCAGCAACCTCCCTACCCCGTCCTAGCACCTCACCTGCCGGCTGAAGATGCCACCTTGGCGCCCCAGGAGAGCCCCACCCCACTGTGCACCCTGATCCCTCGCCTGGCCAGTGTGAAGCTGGCCAACCCCGCCACCTTGCTGAGTCTGAAAAACTTTTGTTTGGGTACCAAAGAGGTGCCCCGGCTGAAGCTCCAGGAAAGTCAGGAGCCTGCTCCCAGCAGCCCGGCTTCTCCAGAGACCAGTCTAAATCGGGCTGGGTCTGCACCTCAGCCACAGCCGCCGCCGTCCCAGCGGGAGCTGGCGGGGCACCGGGCTGCTGCCTTAACTCCACATGCCTGTCCCTTCCCTGGGCCTGCGGATCCAGCCCCCGGGAGCAGGCAGGACAGGCACTTTCTGCAGCACCTGTTGGGGACTGGCATGAACTACTATGTGAGGGTAAGTCCAGTTCCCTCTCTGTGTTCTTTCTAAGAACTCCTGAGGAAAGGGGCATCTCTGTGGGTTGTTTTGGCTTGTTTGTAGCAAGGGGCTGCATCTCACCTGACTGGGCTCTAGATCCGACAAGATATGGAGTAACCAGATCAAGGGAAGAGGGAGCAAGGCTTACAAGTCTCCCTGCAAATACCTGGTTTGTACTGGTGTCAGACAACTTTTGGTTTAAGGACATGAGTTGGTCTAACCTGTAGATAGTTGCCAGATATGGAGGTAAGTTCTTGCAGGGACAGCGATTATGGCATCTTCTTGTCTCCCCTCGACCTAACATTTTGGCCAAAGAGAGTTAAGACTTTTAAATCTGTTCAGTGTTTGAGACCCGAAGGTTTATACCAGCCATTGCACGTCAGAAGAGATTTCTGGGCTGGAAGAATACATAGTGTCAGAGACTTGAATTATTTTTAAAAAAATTAATTCCACATTTAACAAACACTTCTCAACACATGACCTCATCTCTAGCTTGTGCAAAGAACTACTCTTAAGTCTATGGTTCATACTTTTGGTCTCTATCATTATTGCTTATGTAGTGGATAGTGGATTTTGCACTAAATGATTGATGATTTTGCATAAATCATCCATGATTTATGTGCAAAATTAAGGTCCCTACTAGTTTTTTGTCTGCCCCTACCCATTCTAGAACTGGGCAAAGAAAGAATAGAAAATATGGCTGCTGCCCTTCTGGAGCTCACATTTTAATCCAGGACATCAGTGAATGCATGCGAAATAGTAAGAGAATAATACTTAGCAGTAAAGATCAATGCAAGAATGTTATAGAATTCAGGGAAAAAAGAATACAAAGGAAAGGTTGTATGGTCTGAGATTCATTCAAATGGGAAATGCAAGCAAAGGTGCCTCTTGGAAGACGTCAGATATGGATTGGCAGAAAGGAAGCCATCCCTGGCAGGGCAAGGTTCTGAGCCAAGTGCAAGAGGCAGGTATCACTGTGGCAGCTGCATCACACATGCTGGCCTTGACTAAGGAGATGGGGATGCTAGAGAGAGTGGCAATCATGTAGCTGGTGCTCTACCAGATGGGAGTAGAATGAAGACAGATGTACCCCTTGAGTAGTTTGGGGAGGAGGGAACCCTTGACCGAAGCTTTTAAATACTGAATGAAAAGGTTATAAACCCTGATTAGTAAACAAGAACCCTCATAGATTTGTAGGCATACTTTGACTTGATGACAGTCATAAGAAGATCAATCTGTAGGTCTATTTGAGATGGACTGAAGCAGTAAGAAAAAAAAATAGAGATGAGAAGGTGAGTAAGAAAGCTACTGAGGGAGTTTAGGCATGAGGGCTGAGAACATGGGTTATGCGGAAATGCGAGAAAGGAAATGATAGCAGGAGACTCATTGAGAAGCCTCATCTCAGGTGAGGGTCAGGTCTTGGGACCCTGGACTTAATACAGCGGACATTTCTTGAGCAGTGGGTAGATTGGTCAGTTGTGGTTGTTTAGAGAACATTATTGATGAAGGTTTGTGAGGAGTAAAAAGTAACTTTAATTTAAGTCCTGGAATGGGATTAGTGATGCCAGCGATAGAAGCAGTGAGTGGGGGAGGGGACTTGTGTGCTGAGTTTGCCTTTGACATACAACATTTAAAGGAATGATATCTAAATAATTATAACTTGTGGGCAGGCAGACCTCTAAGACTGGCATCAAGTGAGAGTTCTGGTCTGAGAGTATAAATTTGAGAAATGACCCAATAACTGTGTAACAGATATTTTCAAGACAGGCCAAATTATGACGGAGAGAGAGCACACTTGGGGCAACCTTGGTGAATGGGTAACTAAGACCTCAAAGAAAGATCCTGAGCTCTTGCTCTTCCCCACAGTGATGTGGCTCATCATGGAAATAGTCTCATGTATCCACTAAAGGTTCATGGGCACATTCTCCTTTGTCAAGCGTAAGTAACTGCCAAGTGCTAATGGGAAAGTGAACGACTCTCCAAAACTACACTCTGCCCCTGCCTTCCCATGTCACCTAGATGTCCTCTACCTGCGCCTGCCTTGCACCAACTTCACCTCCTTTCACTTTTCGAATGTGAAAATGTGTGATCTCCATTTCCCCTAGGGAAGGTCTCCATTAGTATGTTAGATCTTTATTTTTTTTTTTTTTTAATTTTTCTAGAGGCATGTCTTATTTATTTATTTATTTATTATTTGTTTGTTTGGTTTATACATGCACTGGGTACAGTCAGAAGCGTGGGAGGGTGAGAGAATTCACCAGAGCCAGAGCGGGGAGCAGAGCAGGCAGAAGGACCGAAGTACACTGCTGAGGGGAGCAGCGGGCGGCAGGAGAGGTCTGCACGCCATGTGGGACCCTCCTCCGATGGCCGGGGAGCAGCCGGGAATCGAACCGGCTGCAGAGGCTGCAGGCAGCTTCGCAACCCAGCGCTCAACCGCTGCGCCACCGGGGAGGCCCGTATGTTAGATCTTTAATGAGGACACCATCTGTCTTTTCATGGCACTGATAACTGTCCCCATGAAGAGTCTCATCCTGTGACCCTCGTGGCCTGTACCACCCTGCCAATCGACAGGGCACGACCCCTGATCACCCTTCTCTTAGGGGTGAAATAGAGGATATTGTATTCCTTCTCTTAGGAAGTCAACTCCATAGAAAAGCCTACTTTAATAATTTTTATAGAATTCTATAATGATGGAAGCAGCCCAGAATCATCAAATTTGATGCCTACATAGGGAATCTGAAGCCCAGAGGTGGATTTTTTTTTTTTAAGGTCACACAGATAAGTGGCCCACAAGCGCTCGACACCCCCCTCACCCCCAGCCATTCTTTTCACCACAGGTTTCTATCCTGTTCCTTGGAATTTTTTGAGATGTGAACCAATTTCAAACATTGACATGCCAACTTATTATTGATAAAAAACATTGTACCAAGTGAGCCAAAATGTTGATGCCTGTTCTTCTATCTGTAGGGAAATACACAGTTGATCAAAAGTTGTTTTGTGATGATGGAATCAGCAGAGAAGTGAGAGATTCTTAATAGCTGATGGATAGAGGGGCAAATTTTGAAGGCACAAGCAACTACATATTCTACCTCCTTATCAACATATGTGACTGATCCTCTCCCTGTGCGGGCTGATTTGTTTATCTGTTCATTCATTTATTCAAAAAATATATATTGTGAACCAGTTTTGCCATAGGAACTGTTCCAGGCTCTGGGGATACATTGCTGAATAAAAAATGACCAGTTCTGAGACCATGGGGAACTTACATTTTAGTGGATAGATTAAACAAACAAGTGAATATAATGTGTTTATGGTAATAAGTGCTAGAGAGAGCAATAAAAGAAGAGAAGGAAGAAAAGCTTGGGTGAAATGGAGGATATTGTATTCCTTTTGGGTAACTAATGGCAGGGTTAGAGCTACTCTTTATCTTGTTCTCTTGCACCTTTTGTTTTCAAAATAGGGATGGTATTTGCCATCTAAAGCTTAGAATTACTTTAGGTTAAATAGCCTTTGGAAAAAATGATGTTTCTTTTGATCTTTTGCTGTAGAGTCAATTATACAGCTGAAATATTTTATAAATTCTGAGCACCTGTTTTTTTAAAAAGATTTATTTATTTAGACAAGCACTGGGGGACAGGCCAGAGGCGTGGGAGGGTGGGAGAATCCACCAGAGACAGAGCAGGGAGCAGAACAGAAGGACTAAATACACTGCTGAGGGGAGCAGCGGGCATGATAGGAGAGGTCTGTGGCGCCATGTGGGAATCCCCCTGGCCAGCCTGGAATCAAACTGGTGACATGGAGGCTGCAGACAGCCTCACAGTGCTGTGCTCAACCCGCAGCGCCATGGGGAGGCCCCTGAGCACCTATTTTTGATTAAGTTTTATTTAAGTTCTGACCTTGAACTCCCTCAAGGTCTCTTCAGGAAGGTGGCTAGCAAACCCTTCTTTGAGAGATACTGAGCCATAAATGGGGGGCAAGACCCCAGACTGAGCAAAATAGTTCCATCTGTGGAACAGGCCAGATGGTGACTCTCATGCCTACCATCAGGATTAAGCTTCATTTCTTTATGAGGGCTTCCCAAGTCCCTTTACCCACCTACAAGCATTCACAGAGTTCTCCCAGGTGCTCAATATGGTCTGTGGTGAATATGGGAAATATCCAGTGGGACCCATGCTCCTTTCTAAAATGAGAGGATTGGTCTATATGGTCTTGAAGGTGTCCCTCAGCCCCAACATTTAATGACTCTAGGGCTTCTGTCTCCACATAGGTGTTGTTAAAACATTGGTTCCTCTTCCCACCCCAAACCCCAAATTGCCTACAGTTAGTTTAATTCCAAGACTCAATAAAGCAGAAGGCAAAGAAGCTAACTCTTGCAGAGCTGTTGCAAGAAACAAGTAGTTCTTACAACAGCCTTATGAAGAAGGTTATATTCTCTCAGCGATGACGCTGAGACCCCAGGAGTGTATTAACTCCCCTACACTTTACAGTCTACGAAGGAACAGACTTAGGATTCCCATTGAGGCTTGTTTCATTTCAATGCTCCTCTTCTTCCCTCCTCCCCCCACCGCCCCACCTCTGAGCAAGGCGGGCAGTCCTGGAGGTTGGTGAATGGAGCAGCTGGTTGCAGGATGGCTTCATTATTGGCCCAACCCGTAGAACTTGCCTGGTGGCATTCATTTACTTAATTTCAGTCCAACCCAGCCCAACCATTGCCCAAGACTGTATTAGTTTCCTAGGGCTGCTGTAACAAGTTCACAAGCAGGATGATTTACAACTGCAGAAGTGTATTTGCTCACCATTCTGGAGGCTACAAGTCTGAAATCAAATTATCAGCAGGGCCCCGCTCTCTCTGAAATCTGTAAGGGTGGATCCTTCCTCGACTCTTCTGACTTTGCTTGGCTTCCAGAGATCTTTGGCATTATTTGGCTTGTGAAGGCATCACTCCAATCTCTGCCTCCATCTTCCCATGACTTTCTATC